GAACAACAATGCCAACCCACAGTAACTAACCACAACAGCCCACGATGCCTAGCTATGACGCCATAGCTAACTAGCATGCTAGCATCCAATAACACACAGTTTAGCACCAATACTTGGTTACAACAAACCACCAAGAGTGTGTTAACACACTAAACAGATCATTCATGTCCGTGTCTAGTTTCTTTCGTAACGCAGCAAAAAATTAAGCGTTGGTTAGCTAGCACATTAACATTGGAAACAACTCTCCACCGTTGCACTAAACAGATAAGTACCAATAAACGTTACCAGTAGCTACCCGCTAGCTAGCTAGCATACCAAGAGTGTGTTAACACACAAAACAGATCATTCATGTCCGTGTCAAGTTCCTTTCATAACGCAGCAAAAAAAAATTAAACGTTGGCTAGCTAGCTAGCACATTAGCTAGCACATTAACATTGGAAAGCACTCTCCACCATTGCACTAAACAGATAATAACCAATAAACGTTACCAGTAGCTACCCGCTAGCTAGCTAGCCTCGTGCTTCGCCGGGCTCCGCCGTAACAATACTTAAACAATACGTAAACAATACTTACCTACAATAATTGCCTACGGAAACCTACAATAACTACCTAAATAAGCTACCTACCTACGATCTAAATACATGGTTTAAGCTTTACTCAACACCATATGACTATGTTCTTCAAGAGATGATGATATTAAAACCAAATAGTAATTTATTTAACAATCCCTTGAAAAAGCACGTAGTTGTCAATGGTTTTAGCGGAACTGGGTTTCTCCTTGCCCCCCAGAAGCCAAATTGAATGCTCTCCACCGTATTGTGACATTTTATTGATAACGAACTATAGGTTTTCTATGGAGGATTAACAGTATACATTAAAAGAACAGAAATTCCAATTTAAGTCAACATTCCCTGATGTGTGGCCCTCCAACCATTTTTGTGGTACCATTTGAAAGTTGTAATTTCAATTTTATTCCCATTTAGTACATTTATCGGACAGGCGGTCATCTTTGTGGTCGTAATTATAAGTTACAATTTAAATTCAATTTCAGTGGTCTGAAGGGATAGGTCCGTTCTATGAATTCTATGTATATGATTGAAATGACACCCACCCTGTATTCAAGAGCATGTTGGTTGTGTCTCAACCGATGGCGGGCACCACAAAGAAACTCTGCTGATGTGAAATACAGTCTAATCTACCAACCTGGTTTCAGACTATTTCCTATAATTCTGTACATAAATCCGAGACACTCCATTTAGTATGATATGTTACATTTCGTATGGTATGTGTTTATTTGTGGATGTCCATCACCCATTTCGTATGATATGTTACGAATTACAAATCGTATTATGTTACGAATTTGCAAAACGTACAATATGTTACTAATTTGCAAATGTACTATATGTTATGAATTTGTGAAACGTATGATATGTTACCAATTCTAGCTAGCTGGCTAACGTTAACTAGGCTAGAGGTTAGGGGTTAGCGTTAAGATTAAGTTTAGCTATTTTTTATTTTATTTAACCTTTATTTAACTAGGCAAGTCAGTTAAGAACAAATTCTTATTTACAATGACGGCCTACACCAGCCAAACCCGGACGACGCTGGGCCAATTGTGCGCAGCCCTATGGGACTCCCAATCACAGCCGGTTGTGATACAGCCTGGAATCGAACCAGGGGGTCTGTAGTGACGCCTCAAGCACTGAGATGCAGTGCCTTAGACCGCTGCACCACTCGGTAAGTAGTTTAAAAGTTGCTAAAATGCCAAAGACCAGACTGAAGCTACAACATATGCGAATATAACAACAATTGAGTTTACGCGGTTTTAGGTAATTGATGTTGATATTTATGAAGAAAAATTATAAAATAGTTTGACAACCCTGTTTTGTAAGCTTTTCAATTGTATCAATCTCAACCGTTTGTTTTCCAGTGAAGAAGACATGGATGACTCATGGTGGGGTGGGGTATGCAAAATGGGTCAAATGTATCTCTTGATTCAGTTCCAAAAATACAGTTCCAAAAAGTCACATTTTGAGCACTTCTACAATGGGCAAATATGAATGGAAAGTTTTGTTCAAATCAAAAGGGGTGCTGTCAAAAAGTGATTGTATTCAAATGGATTTACCCTTCTGTGTTGTCATTGATTGTTTGTGCGGTTTACAGAAAAATACCTGTGTTCTGCCCGAGGACCTCCGAGACTTTTATCTCACAACGGATGGTTTCACCCTTACCTGGAGTGCCAAACTCGAGAGTAGGTAACCCTGACAGTGACACATTCAGCTCCAAACATCCATAGAAGATCAGACAACCAGTTCTTCTCTCTTTGACACTCTTTCCTCTATTGTACCAGATGAGTCTGTGCCTTTAGGATGCATGGTGCTCAACGGTGTGGCCAACTTGCGTCCTCTTTGCCAGTCGTCGTCAGTGTTCTCCCTCCCCAACGCACCCTCACTGGCTGACCTGGACTGGGACGAGGAACAAGTTGAAGGTGACACCACCTTGTTCAGCTACTTAGTGGATTCTCTAGTTTCAGCCTCCAATGTTGTTGTATGCTGAATCATCTAGCTATGGGTTCCTTTAAAAAATGTTGGACATATTGTAGAATACGGGGCATTGATGCAAATGTTCCATAAATTGTTACGTCATGTATAGATAGGCCTATCTAGTTAACAACAATAGTAGGACACACACATCATTCACACATTCTGTTTTCCTCAGAGTCAGAGTGTGGGCCGGCGGAGCCCCATTTTGATTCCAGGAGCCGTATCTTTGAGCTGGACCCCTGCAGCGGGAATGGCAAAGTCTGCCTGGTCTACAAAGACTGCACAGAAGGTACTTTCCCATTTACCCATGTGATATGCCACATGCACTGTGTGCGTAAAGGATCATGAAAAAATAAGAGAGGAAGACAATTTCAGTTTGCCATATTTAAAACCACACTTTATGGAAATGTGCCCATCATTATTTAATCACCCTTGCTCTCTGTCCCCTGGCTGTTTGGTTCCAGGTGTGGTGGCCCAGAAATGTGAAGTGTGGTTCCTGGATCGCTCTCTGTACTGGCACTACCTGACGCCCAGCTTCACTGCCTACTACCGCCTGATGATCACCAACTTAGGCCTGCCAGAGTGGCAGAACGCCTTCACCCCCTACGGCCCCAGTCCCCAGGCCAAGGTAATACATCGTCACCCCCTAGAAGGAGCGAGGCTGGGGTTCTGGGATTTTGTTGGAATTAGGCCAAAATTTAAGAGGGTACATTTGGTGGCTAAGAGCACTTGAAAATAGTGACCCATTGTTCTTATGTATTGCATGTAGATATCATTGTAGATGTGGTACAAATACATTTATTATAGGCCCACTACCATGTATGTAAGTAAAAAACTAAATCAGCACAGCCAAAAAGGTGATCCATTACATATAAGGTAAACATAGATTTTATTGTTTCTTTCAATGTACAATATATAGTAATGTCAAACATAACATACCCCAGTTAGAGTTAGGCTATGTATAAGCACATTCCGGCCACATCAGCTAAAACAAATAAGTCAGGGGATTATGCCTAGAATGAGGTATGTTGTACGTTGACCCCCAAGCTCTGACTCCATGGAGGGTCATTAAGTGCATTTGTTTCATTGCCCTGTCGGCCTTACATACCTTGACTAGGTCTCACATAAAATAATATTAGTATTTTAGTCATTTAAGTGAATGTGTAGCTATACTTTTTGATTAGACAACATACAATAAGCTTTGTTATGTATGTTTAAAACAAGTCTGTCTTATGAAAGAGATTTCTCTCAGCACGCAAACAGTAGGAAATAATGCCATGAGTTTGTTTGTTTGGTTAGTTAGTTTACCCATTGTGCTTGTGTCATCTCTCTCCCCAACAGCAGTGGGCGTCTCTCTACCAGCCCCTGAGTTTCCACTGTGAGCCCAGTATGGCCGACCTCGCCGGAGAGCCGCCCATCAACAAGCTGGACCCCAGCAAAGCCTTCCGGGGCAAAGCCAAGCTGCTCGCCCCGAAGAAGAAACAGTCGGCCCAGGGAGGGGGGGGGGGCACTGCCAAGGGGCAGGGGAGCTCGGGGAGGCATAGTGGGGGCAGGCGATAAGGATGAGGAGACTTCCCCCACCCAAAAAAACACATTCAATGGGCTATGGCAGTTTCCCCTGCATTTGTGTCTTGGGTGGGGTGAAAAGGGCCCGGAAGCAACATGTCTGGCTGCTACCCTTCAAAATATTGAAGGTAACGTTCTATGTGGTAGCTAATGGGGCTACAGCACTTGGCTTCTCGAGTAAGTAATGGCAGGGAAACGGCAGCTATGTATTATACCACTATAAATGCTTTTTCTCCTGAATGTGTGTGCATGTGTCTGTGCATGCCTGACATGTTTTCTCTAGCAATGCTGCTAGTCCCTGTGAAGCCTTGCAGGCCATTTTGCTGATCCTATTTATTTCCCTTGTGTGTCTATGGCTGTATGTATTTTCTATTAAAGGCAGATGAGAATTTTTGAGGTTAAACCTGTGTTATTGTCGATGGCCATTTTAATGAGTCCAGATTTCCTCCAGTGTCTTCAGATTTGCTGCATTTGTTCTTTGAAACCGATACGAGTAATGAGCACCAATTACATTCTTGACATAGTCTCTCGCATTTTGCCATCAGTTTCAAGACTCCATGATTCTATTGGTTGAGGGGTAAGCTAAGCTGATCCTAGACTTGTATATGCAGCTTTGACTTCTGTTAGAGGTGGTCTCATTCATCCTTAGCCTGGGAGCCAAACTGAATTCATGCTCTGTTTCACAGTTGTTTCACTTTCACGATTCATTCTGGACTGCCTCCAATAGACTCACTTGGACTTGGACCATCGAGAAATTAACCAGTCCAATCAGTGTCCTCTCAGAACTACTCAGCACTACATCCCCAATTGTTCGCCAATGTTTCTGTTCCATTGGATCCTCCTCCAGTTACTTTTGGTGTAGCAAGTGTGCACAAACATAGCTGGGGTGCCTCACACACACACCCCTGGGCCGAGGTTTTTCTGCATATCCAGAGGGACAGCCTCCTCTGCCTCGTCCTCTAGCTCCCTCCTGTGTTCACAGGGGGAGGGGTGGTGCAGTTCCACAAAGACCTTGTAGACGGAAGCCCCTGTGACTCCTCCCACCAGGGGGGCAAGTACAGGTACCCACCACCAGCCGTTACCTGCCCTGCACAACAGAGAGCGAGAGAGGGAGTGTGGAGATTGGTTACAGTGGTCAAAGTCAGTCAAAAACTAACAAAAATAGCTTTGGGGAGTTTTGTCGTACATAATTATATATTGTATTATTTGGCAGCCATTGATCTGGATTTGAAGGAGCTGGAGCAGTTTTGCCTTGAAGAATGGGCAAAAATCCCAGTGGCTAGATGTGCCAAGGTTTTCCGTTTTTTTTGTCTTATCTCTTGTTTGGTTCACACTAAAAATAATTTTCATCTTCAAAGTGGTAGGCATGTTGTGTAAATCAAATGATACAAACCCACAAAAAATCCATTTTAATTCCAGGTTGTAAGGCAACAAAATAGGAAAAATGCCAAGGGGGTGAATATTTTCGCAGGCCGCTGTAACTACAATGTTGTTGATCCATCCTCAGTTTTCTCCTATCACAGCCATTAAACTCTGTAACAGTTTAAGGTCACCATTGGCCTCATGGTGAATGTTAGGAAGGACACCTGTATCTTTGTAGTGACTAGGTATTGATACACCATCCAAAGTGTAATTAATAACTCCACCATGCTCAAAGGGATATTCAATGTCTGCTTTTTTTATATTTTTTATGCATCTACCAATAGGTGCCCTTCTTTGCGAGGCATTGGAAAACCTCCCTGGTCTTTGTGGTTGAATCTGTGTTTGAAATTCACTGCTCGACTGAGGGACCTTACAGATAATTGTACAGTATGTGTGGGGTACAGAGTTATGTTAAACACTATTATTGCACACAGAGTTCATGTAACTTATTATGTGACTTGTTAAGCACATCTTTACTCCTGAACTTATTTAGGTGTGAATACTTTCTGAAGGCACTGTAAGATAAAAAGCCCTTGCAAGACTAGCAGGCAAGGTTGGGGTCAATTCACTTTTCAATCCACTCAGTTCTGAAAATGGCCAATTGACTTTTGAATTCACATATTGAATATAAATGAAATTACTGGAATCCCTGAACCAAAACTGAAAACTGAACTGACCCCCACCGGGTCTTACCCCCCACTCCCCTCAAGTCTTACCGGAACACCTCTGGCCCCCAGCATGCTATAGCGGTGAAGATTCGAGGTCCCAGGTCGCGGCTAGGGTTGATAGCGTATCCGCTGTTGCTCCCCAGAGAGACTCCTATGAGCAGTACCAACAGGCCCACAGCGATGGGCTCACCCCCCGATGGAGCAGGCTGGTTCCTTTGGTCAGACAGGGCCATCAGGCACAGCAACAACATGGCCGTGCCGATCACCTGGAACGCACACAGCGAGAAAGCGGGCATTAGGTTGATATGTTTTAATGTCTATGAGAGAGGAAAACAACCATGATTGACACTATGGGGCCGAATCAGACTTAGGAAATGTATGCCTTTTTTAAGCATTCTGATTTAAGCACTTCTCAGTATTTGGTATTCAGACACCATATGCATGTGCGTAACATGGTTTGCGGGTGTGGCTCCCTTGCATGCACTGAATACGCTTAATTCAAACCAACCAAAAACACCTACTGGGTTGGCCAATTTGATCAGATAGTTTTTCTTCAATATGTTTTTCTGTTCATTCATCTAAAGCAATCCCTCTAAATACTGTGTACCTTGAATTTGAATTTGATCGGCACAACATTAGAATGTAGCCTATGGAAAATGCATTCAGAATGGATATAAATTAAAGACAGTCGTCAAAACATGCATTTTTATCTCTGTTCAGAACCCATGTGTAGATTTCAAAACACTGATATTTCACAATATATATGTTTAGGGAAGTTTTCATGAACCCTAGGCTACTTCATGGAAAGATTTGGAGAGCCTTAACGCAAAAAAAAAAAAAAAAAAAAAAAAAACTTTTGATTCATTCTGAAAATTGCCACATTCAGTTCTTCACCCCATGTTAATGTTGGAGGATTAGTGTACATAGAATTATAATAGGGAGAATTGTGTACAATAGTATACCCTGGCCCATTGCCCACACTGACCATGGAACTTAAGGTTACCTAATGTATGGGGTTCTCAAAGTGGGCTACTGCAGGGGGTCTGTGACATGTTTTAATATATATTTAATTTTTTTAATGAATATTACTAACAACAACAGATTAAACAACTTTTGTCCAAGGGATCAGTGGAATAAGTTTAGATGGTTTAATACAATACAATGTAATATTATTTTAAAAAACTATTTATGTTCTTAACCCTGGGAAACATGGGCCAAACATAAAACATAAAATGCATTGTAACGGCAAAGTTTTCTTTCTGCCTCATGGCAAAATGGGTAGAATTGCAGAAAATTAGCTTGAAAACTGCAAAAAAAAATTGATAAGAGGCAGGCCTTTAAAATGTTCCTCCCGGACTTGGTTCATCCGGCCATGCACTGCCGAAGTCATAGTAACACTCCTTGTATGCTATTCTTATCTTACTGAAGTTGTGTTCTCAAATCGAATCAAAATGTATTTGTCACATGCGCTTTGCAGTCATGGGCGGTGCATTTGCCATACCTAGCAGTGATGCAGCCAGTCAAGATGCACTCAATGGTGCAGCTGTAGAAACTTGTGAGGATCTGAGGGCCCGTGATAAATATTTTCAGCCTCCTGAGGGGGAAGAGGCGCTGCCGTGCCCTCTTCACGACTTTGCGGGTGTGAGGATCATGTTAAGTCCTTAGTGATGTGGACGCCAAGGAACGATTAGTTACCGGAGTGTAACTCCAGTTCTATGAGTGGAGCGGAGCCCCATAGGACTTAAGGCCCTGCCGACCCTCTCTAGTCTCGCTGAAGATAATATCTCGGGAGGCTGATTGAGGGGAGGCGTCCCCTCTTATAGGGACACCTGTGCTCCCATTGGCTGCAGGTGTGTGCATAATTTTGCTTCAGGCTGTTGCTGCCTTAGGGCAGAGGGTAAACCACTAGGAGCAGAGCTCCCCTATGGGGCTCCGCTCCACTCATAGAACTGGAGTTACACTCCGGTAACTAATCGTTCTATATCGTGGAGCTCCGCCCCATAGGGGAGCTCTGCTCCTAGTGGTTTAAGGCGGAGCGTAGCGCTCCAAAATGTACTCCCTGCCGAGCCTAACACTTCCCATTAAAAAATGAAAAGGTCAAGCCTAGCAATGGCCGCAACCAATTCCCGCGGTACTGCAACTAAAAACCCCTACGAGCGTCACAATATACCGCGTCATCGGTTAAAGACCCGCCCCACCTAGTTCAATGGCACTGCCAATGACTAGTGGGCAGATCACCAGAATAGAAGCTACACTAATCTGTACTAGCAGATAGATGTGCCTCAATATCCTGTGAAAACACCACCGACCACTAATGGAATGACACCAAGTGTCACTCTACATTATGTGCACAGTAGACCACCTCACTCACTCAATGGAATCCCAGAGATTAGTAGGCAGGAACAAAATATAAGTCATACTAAACTGAACAATCAGATAGATGACCTCACATTCTGTCAATTCAATACATGTCTCTACTATACTGACCCTGTCAGTCAAGAGTCATGCCACAAGATATGCTTTCCATCCAAAGCGGACCTGATAGAAACCTGTGTCCATCGTCCTGCTTTTCTCTCTTCTAGCTCAAGATTCCCCTTCAGCTATGCTGAGTACAACCGAGCCAGAGAGATAGAAAGCCTATCTATCAAAAAACATGTTTTCCTAACCAAAGCGGACCTGATGGGAACCTGCCCATAGTCCTGCTTTATCCTCTCTTCCTGGCTCAAAATCTCCTTTCAGCTTTGCTGAATACAGACCGAGCCAAAGAGTTAGAAAACATATCTGTCCAGAATATGTCTTCCTAACCAAAGCGGACCTGATGAACACACATGTCCACAGTCCTGCTTTTCCCTCTCTTTCTTGCTCAAGATCTCCTTTCAGCCACGCTGAGTACAGATCGAGCCAAAGAGTTAGAAGGCATATCTAATAGATAGAAACAGAATATGTCTTCCTAACCAAAGCGGACCTGATGGACACCCATGTCCACAGTCCTGCTTTTTTCCCTCTTTCTTGCTCAAGATCTCCCTTCAGCCACGCTGAGTACAGATCGAGCCAAAGAGTTAGAAGACATATCTAATAGATAGAAACTGATAAATGGAGACGGTGTCGACCATGACGCTGCTCTACAAATATCCTCTACCCCTGTTCCTCTGAAGAGGGCAGTAGAAGCTGCTACTCCACGAGTGGAGTGAGCTCTGATACCCTGAGGCAGTTGTCGCCCCGCTGCCTAGTAAGCTGTCTCAATACCTTCACAAAGCCAATGAGACAATCGCTGTTTTGAAAGTGGTCTACCTAATGCAGCCGCACCGTGACACACAAACAGCTGAGGCGATGACCTAATCGCTGCTGTGCGCTCAACGTAACACGCCAAAGCGCGCACTGGGCACAGACAATGAAGCTTTTCCTCACTCCTCTCCCCATGAGGAGGGGGAGAAAAAGCCCACAACTCCACGGTCTGTGATCTATATGCACTGCTAATAACCTTCGGCACAAACGCCGGGTTAGGACGTAACACCGCTCTGCTCAGATCGCCATTAATGGCAAGGCAGTCGGGTCTCGTCGACAGGGCACACAAATCACTGACACGCTTAGCGGTAGTCAAGGCGAGCAACAGTGCCGTCTTGATAGACAGCATCTTGAGGGGTATTTGATTAAATGGCTCGAACGGCGACTTTCATAGCGCTTCGAGTACCAAGGCCAAATCCCACTGGGGCAGCGTAGCTCTAGGCATTGGCCTAAGCCGCCGCGTTCCCAATAAGAAACGTTTCACTAAAGGGTGGCTGAACACGTTCGTTCCGCCAAACCCCTCATGACCAGCTGAAATTGCCGCTGCAAACACTCTAATGGTGGAGGGCGATTTCTGCTTATCAAACATAAACTGCAGAAAAGAGAGTACACTCTCAACCTGACAGTTCATGGGGTCCACACCTTGTGTGTCACACCATCGTGAAAAAACGTTCCATCTGCTGGTATACATACATAGAAGTGGAACCGGCTCGTGCACCTTGCAATTTAAATAACGTTTGAATTTGATTTGACATTGCACTTTTAATTGGTCAAATATTTTTGGAGAGAAATAGACCTTTGCAGTAAAAACTATAACATGCACAAAGAGGTCAGTCCTCCCAATACATGTCACATTTTTATCATTCAGTGACGTGGGTCGATCAGGATCCAGACTGTGACAGTAGCCTAGTAACATAATTTAAAGGTCCAATGCAGACGTTTTTATCTCAATATAAAATAATTTCTGGGTAACAATTACAGTGAGGGAAAAAAGTATTTGATCCCCTGCTGATTTTGGACGTTTGCCCACTGACAAAGACATGATCAGTCTATAATTTTAATAATAGGTTTATTTGAACAGTGAGAGACAGAATAACAACAAAAAATTCCAGAAAAACGCATGTCAAAAATGTTATCAATTGATTTGCATTTTAATGAGGGAAATAAGTATTTGACCCTGTAGTGTATTAAGATTATGTCTTTGTTAAATGTTTTTCATGAAGAAATGGAATGTTGGTTATGTTAGTATCAAAAGGCAATGTTTAGTATAATGTCATATACAATAGACAGGAAGTGTGTGTTGTAGACAGGGGAGACTGGTGATTGGCCAGAAGAGGGAGCCACCCCTCTTTTTGCATTGTTTATAAATAGGGGTTAAACGATGAGAAGGCAGAACGGCCATGGCAATCTGAGGAGCCGTTCTCCGGACACCGCGGGTCTGTACTTATGCTGTAACCTCGTGATTTTAATAAAAGACTCCCGTCTCGCTTCCGCATTGTCTCCGTACTGCTGTGCTGTTTGTTGCTACTTGGCTACCTGCCAAACTATTCACGTTTTACTTTTAATAAACGTTTAATCAATCTTTGTGTTCAACAAATTTACCAACTTTTTAGTTTTGTCCTCACTCATCTTTTTTCGTTAAACTTTTTCACCCCGGACGTTTATCCCGAGACAGAAGAGTCATTTTCCTGTGCGTTTTAGCTGCCAACTTTACGTTATTTTCCTTTTTTCCATCGCAACTTTTTTCCCTTATTCAACTTTTTCACTCCGGACGCTTTATCTGGACATGGTTCATCAACATCTTCAACAGCCGAAGCTAAGTAGTAACATTAACATGATGTCTTCTAATTGCAGTCGCTGTACTCATAATATACAGGAGAACGATCGCCTTACGGCGAAAATAGCTGTGCTACAAGCCCAGCTTCAGACGCAATCGTTAGGCAAGGGTAATCTCAGTGTAGGAAAGGAAGAAACAGCGTCTGTGCCACCAGTAAGTACAGACAGTAACGTT